CAATTTGTTTTTTCATTTTCATCTTCCTCATCTTCATCTTCATCATCGTCTTCATCGTCATCTTCCTCCTCCTCTTCCTCATCTTCTTCCTCTTCTGTATTTAAATTTGAGTAATTAGACAACTTAATATTCACACCTTTGTCATCCAACTTTTCACATTTATTTAAGATACTCGAGTTATCAACATCACCACTTCTTTGAATTTCATTATAGCTAAAAATTTCATTTTCTTTATTTTCTATATTGGTTGTTAAATTTGTATTATTTTCTTTTTCCTCTTCATATTCATTTTCAAAATTTTTTTCATTTTCCTTGTTTTCATTTAAATCACAAACATTATTTGTTTCTTCATTTTCTAGGTCTACTGTAAAATTTTTTTCAGAAATATTACTTTCCTTTATGTTATTTCTATTAAAAGTTTCATTATCATTTATTTCATTTTTTTCCTCATTTATGTCACTTGTTACTGTATTGTTATCAATATTTCTATCAACATTATATTCATTATTTTCATAATTTGCTTCATGACATTCATTATATATTTTCTCATTTTCATTAATATTATTACTATAATTTTCGTTTACTTCATTATTATCATCTTCATTTACTTCATTAATATCATTATTTTCATCTTCATTTACTACATTAATATCGTTATTTTCATCTCCATTTATTTCATTATTAACATCTACATTTTTTTCATTATTTTCATTATTTTCATTTATTTCATTTTCTTCATTTATTTCAATATTTTTTTCTTCATCTATTTCATTATTTTCATCTTCACTTATTTCAGTATCATTTTTAATTACATTTTTGTTTATATTAAAATTTTCATTGTAATTTTTTTCATCAAATGCATTTTCATTCTCTTCTGTTTTAGTATAAATATCTTCGTTTAAATCATTTTTTTCATTATCTTCATTCATTAAATTATTATTATTACACATTAAATTTTTAAGAGCATTAATAGTATCATGTATGCTTTCTTTCTTAATTTCATCATTTTCATTTTTCTTTTTCTCTGAATCTTTATTATCATCTTCATTTAAATTTTGTAATTTTTCATTGGTCCACAACATATGAATACCAGCATTTTTTATGCTGACGTTAATAATTTCGATTATCAGTAAAATTAAAAAATAATAAATTCTCAATGTAGTTACTTTATCACTATATTTTAATCCATTTTCTCTAATATTATAACATAACCCTATAAAAAATTTATATTAAAATATTTTAATTTTTTAAATAATGAAAAAATAGAAAAATGAATTTTATTTAAATTACTATTTTTTTATTATTATTATTATTACCTGGAAGTAATAAAAAAACTGTATTAAAAAAATTATTTGGAAAATAGCATTTTAAACAAAATAAATTTGTTTTATATATTACAAATACATTTTTATTTGCATATTTTTCTTTAAATTTTCTTGTATAATAAAAATGAAATTTTTCTATTTTTATTTCTCCTTTTTTCATAGATTCATATTCATATTTTATTTTTTTTTTTTTCTCTAAATCTATTAACATGAAATTCATCTCTAACTCCGTTAATGTACCTTGAAAAAAAAAAAAAAAAAAAAAAAATGAAAATAATTCTTAAAATTAATATTTTAATAGAATAAACATTAATATTTCCAATTATAAAAAAAAAAGGTAAAATAATATAAAGTAATAATTCTTAAAATAGAAGAATATAAAAAAAAAAAATAAATAAAAAGCAATTTTGTGAATAATTTATTTTTATTAATGTGTTTTTTTTTAAAAAAAATATGAACAAAATAATTTTTAAAATTGTATAATGATAAAACTTACTTGCTATATAAATATTTGAAGATGGATATGCTTCAATAATATATTCAGAAAATGATAAATTTTCATCTCCTACAACTAAAATATTATTTTCAGTTGTTGTATCCTGTTCATCTTTTATTTCTTTATCTTTATATGAACTAATATCGATTGAAGCATTTTCATTTTTTACACTATTTGCTACATCTTTTTTAGATTCTTCAGTGTTATTAAAGTTCAACTCTTCTATACTAAAATTTGTAGTTCCTTTATTCATTATTAATGTAAAAATTTTCCAATACTTCAACTTTTTATATAATATTTACAAAAATTTTATTTTTTTTTTTTTTAGTAAATATATTAATTATATATATATAATATATTTTTACTTTTTTTCTTTTTCTTTAAAAAGTTAAAAAAAAAAAAAAATAAATAATTGACATAAAAATTTTAAACTAACAATTATAACTTTTTTATTAAAAAAAAAAAAATCAATAAAAAGTATAACATAAAATAAAAATCATTCATATATTTTGTTGATGTGCTATCGATACAAGTTTTTCTAGATACATTTTTTTTTTTTTATTTTAGCAAATGCGTGCATATAAAATATATCTGTTTGTGCGTAATTTAATAATTAAAAATATTTTTTATCTTTTTTTTTTTTTTTTTTTTTTTTCCTTTTTTTTTTAATTTAAAAGGT